GACATTATTCTACAGCATGTGATATCAAGGGAAAAGTCCAAAATATCCCAGTAAGTAGGTGCACAGTGACACAATTGAAGGCCATCCATCCACCCATCTACAGTATGTCTGCTGAGACAAGCGTTCTCGAGCCATCGGGGATCTCGTATGGGTGTCTCGTCATCTCAAGTTCCCAGCTGGCTTTCGGGATTGTTGACACCCTCTAAATATAACCTTCTTAAAGTCGGAGCAGCGGGTACCCAGGGAGACGACAAACCACTCGCGAAACAACTTTGTGTTTTCGCTGCCATATTTGGGGACTTGTTTTTCACATAAACTGAGGACTTCATGGAGGCTGGATGATTTGCGCGGGTGGATTTTGGTCAATGGCTCCCAGAAAAGTCCAGTGGCCTCTTGTCATTGTCGTCAGTCTGCTTGGTGAGTCCAAAAATCACTCAAAAGGGATATTTTGACCCCCCCCCCCCACACACACACAGGAATTAATGCCAAATGACATTTAAATAGAAGTTATAGGTCAACCAAGTGAAGGTAAAATTGAAATAAAGTAAAACTGCGCACCCGTCTCGTCAGATGCCCGACAAGAGGTGGTGAAAAGGGAATCGGAAGCAGAGCGACACTGTTACCTAGTGGCCTTTTGCGGTTTCCTCGTGCATTCCAAAAACATGCTTGGAAGGCTAATTGAAGACTCTTAAACTGTCCGTAGGTGTGAATGTGACAGTGGATGGTTGGTTGTCTGTATGTGCCCTGTGATTGGCTGTCGACCAGTTCAGGGCGTACCCCCCTCTCAGTCAGCTGGGAGAGCCTGCAGCACACCTGTGACAGAGAATGGATGGATGGATTTGTTATTTTTTTACAGTAAAATGTATACTGTTGATAAGTGATGAAAAATATTCGGTACCACAATATCTTTTCGTTGCCCTGTCAATCCGTGTAGTGCGCGAGTGTCTGGGGGGCTGCTCTGAGGTGGACTCGCTGACAGAGGCCGTGCAGGGCGAGCCCTTCGTGCTGGGCTGCATTTCCTGCAAGAAACGAGGGGAAGTGTCGGCCATCACCACCGTCGACTGGCATTTCAGACCTCAAGGAGAGGAAAACTTCACGCACGTGAGATCACAGCTGACAATTTCCTTTATGCGGAACTGAACGTACCGTGACATTCTTTTTTTTTTGAGATAAGCGCGGTCGTTTGAAGAATTGTTTCGCTTTGACTTGCATGCAAAAAATTTGAAATACGAGTGCTTTATGGTGTCGGGGATCTAGACTTGACTCCCGTCACAACAAGCAGCAATTTGGCATATCGTGACCCAAATCTTATGAAGCTCGACCCAGAGTTGATGTGTTGTGTCAAAGTAAACTTAAAAAATATAGATAAATAAAACAACGAGACTTGCATGTGTATTTAAGGCAAAACGCATCCTGGCTTTTCCCCTCAGATCTTCCACTACGAGCATCCGAGCGCCGACGTGATGGACGATGCCTTCAGGGGACGTTTGGACTGGCTGGGCACACGGGGCGAGGACATCCAGGCCGGCACCGTCGCCGTGCGCAACGTCAGCTACGGGGACGCCGGCACATATCGCTGCATCTTCAACCGAACGCTCCTGCTGGCGGGCTTCCGGCACCAAGTCAGCGTGGAGAAGGAGGTGGAGCTCAGCGTGGTTCACGCCGGTGAGTACGAGTCAGTCGGAATACTGCAAGAACAAGATTTGTCACAAGAAGGTCACCATTTTGGGAGAACAGGTCAAAATCTGGCTAGCTTAGTTAAAATTTTCTGAAAATGAGTTGTGATTTAACTTGAACAAGTTGTTTGGGAAAATATTGTGAGAAGAAATCACAATTCCCGAGAACATGTAAAGAATAATGAAGTTGGAATTTTCCAGAGAACGGTTGGAATTTTGGGGGGCAATTAATTTTATGAAAATAAACTGTCAGCATTCAAGTGTAAATTGCAGTTTTATTTCAAAACGTCTGCTTCGCAGCACGATCGAAAACACACTTTTCGGCAACGGAATCACTTCCTGCTTTCCTTTTCTTCAGCCAATCAGAAAGCTATCAACATAAAAACATGTCTCAGCAATTATTACACCACAGAATGCAATTTAGATAACCTTAACATGAAACAATATGATGCTCAAACATCAAATGATAATAATTAATAATATAACATAAGATGACAGTAGGACAAAATGGAATCATACAAGGACAAAATCGTAAAAAAGCTGAGCGTGGCCTGTTTTTACCCACAGGTACAGATGACGACTGACAGAACCCTTTCTACAATATAACATAAGATTACACAAGGACAAAATGGAATCATACAAGGACAAATCGTGATCTTATGAGCATAAATTGTAATGTTTCCGGATTGATGTGAAATTTTCGGAGAATGAGATGCTATGTTTTGAGGTTGTGTGTGTGTGTTTTGTTTTGATTTTTGTGATCTGTTTTGAAGCCAAGCGGGAGCTGGCGGCGGTGGTGTCGGAGATGGTCATGTACGTGCTGATAGTGTTTCTGCAGTTGTGGCTCATCGTGGTGGTGGTCTACTGCTACAAGAAGGTGTCCGACGACATGGACGCCCGCGAGGCTCGCAGAGCTCTTAAGGCTCCCAAGGAGTACGTTGAATAATTCTTTCAGCCTGCCATGCATGTTTTTGGAATGTGGGAGGAAACCGGAGTACCTGGAGAAAACCTGCGCAGGTCCGGGGAGAACATGCAAACTCCACACAGGGAGGCCGGAGCTGGAATTGAACCCAGTACCTCTGCACTGTGAGGTCGACTCGCCAATCACTGGTCTACCGGGCCGCCCTTGTTAACATGCAGAAAAACAACAAAAGAAAAGCACTGTGACATGTAGCATGCTTACAAAGTGGGGTTTTGTTTGTGTTGCAGACTCCTGGACTGTGATGGCATCAAGTTGGAGGAAGCTAAATAATCAAATAAATTATATTTTCAAAAACACATTGGGTAGTATGTAAAATTGTGTTTCCGTTACAAATATTTTTTGTAATTTTTTGTATTTGTTTTATATATATGTAATGTATAAAAATTATCAAAGTAATTATTCTGATGGATGTACAATATGTATCTCATTCGTCATACAGGTACATACTGTAGTGGACTGCAAAAGTTGCGTTCAAGGACATGTGGAGGTCACAGTAACACAGTGAAAGCATTATTCTGCCAATGAGCTGTCATTTCACACTGTCATTTGGTCTTAATAATACGGGGGTTAGGGGTGTCGAAACGTAGGTATAATTTGCATCACGGTGTCCTCACATATTTACTGGAGTGAAATGAAGTTAAAAATGCTTTCATTAAAAGTGATGACAGCGAGGTACTGGAGGTGTTTTAGGACCCAGCGGTTAGATTATGATGATTATTTTTTGGGGGGGCGATGTGGAGGTAAAAAAATGAGTTTGGTCCATCGAGCTCGGACAACCAAAGTCATCAGACAGGTAAGTTTTTCCTTCTGAGCAGCAAGAATTCTCAATACATTCACAATAAAATTCAGACAATATGCCATGCAGAAAGGTAAAACGTGTTTGTTTTCTGATCAGTGATTTATTGGAACTTTGTCATGTAACGAACTGACTTTTGTTAACATGGCTCTAAACACAAGGAAGGTAGTTGAGTTTTTAAACATGTATTCAAAAAAAAAAGTCCTGTTCTTGCCAAAACCGTGTTTCCAAGGGAGCATAACACTCAAAAGTGTTATGGCTGTTAAGTGTTAAGACCGCTGTCCTGTATCGTGCTCACCTTGCAGTTAACGGGGCGTCCAGCAGGAGGCGGCCATGTCTCACATCAACGGCACTGAACTGACTTCCCTGCTTCTGTCCTTGCTGCATCACTGTCTCAACGCAACCACTGCTAAACCGCCACTGAACCACACCAAAACCTCCGCCGCATCCCAAGGAGTCTTCTACATCCTTCTGGTGCTCGCCATGTTCAGCTTCTTCTCCTTCGCGGTCATGTTCAGGTTCATCCGTTCCAGGAAGCTAGAGGGCTCCCAGGACCCGTACCAGCAGTACATCGCCCGAGACTGGAGCCAGAAGCGGACGCCGTCCACGGCTGCCGTGACTCGGGCTCGGCAGGTCGTTGAGGTGTCATCGTCGGTGATCATCAGTAACCCGGCGACAGAGCAGGAAAGCTCGTGAAACATAGACATGCACCTGCAACATGAGGAAGTGACTGCCTTGAATTTTTTATTTTTTTTGGGGGGGGGGGTATGGGCAGCATGTTCAGTACCACTATTTTTTTCCAGACCGTTATCAGTACTGTTTGAGTACTCACTAATATCGAGTGGCGTCTTTTGAAATATAAAATTTAACACAAAAAACTGTGAACAAAGACCTTTCTCTCTTCCGCAGATGATGGTTCGCCGATGTAGCAAACGTCGCAGTATCGCGCCAACTACTGCTAAGAAGGACTTACACAACTTCTGATTAAAAAAAAAAAAAAAAAATTGTCTTAAGTATCAGTGGCTGGCATCGGCAGCTCCCATGAGTATCAGATACCTTAAAATAAGGCTGTATGAGCCCAATAATGATACCTAGTAACAGTACTTGCCCACTGCCAGTTTCCATTATGATGGTTGGAAATAACTGGACAAATTAAAATTCGTTCCAACAGTACCACCTGAAATCTTCTTCGATGTCAGAGTCCAGGTCGCAAATGGTCTGTTTCAGCTATCATTTAAGGTTAGACAGTCGAACATTGTTTAAAACGTTGTTCAATCAAGTCAAAGATTAAAGTGACAAATGGATGAAAATGAAATGAAGTTTCCTGTCATTCATTTGAGCCAACTTTGCATCCACGAAACCAGTCCTCGCTTTGCGTCTGCAGACTTGGCAGCGACATGGGCGGCATTGACCCTTTTCCTCTCCTCTTTCCTCTTCTGTCGCTGCTCAAGTCGGCGGCATCCGGCCACCTCTTCCGCACGCCGGACCTCCCGCGCCAAGTTGAAGTGCACCATTTGCATCTGGAGCATGGGAACAATCAGGTTGTAGCTGTCCACCTTCTTGTTGAGTTTCGCCAGCTCTTCTTCGGCATGGGCGCACAGCTCCTCCCAGCGGAGGCGCTCCGTCGGGCCGAGGGGTTCGCCCAGCCCGGCGCGACCATCCAGCAGCTCTCGCCTGATGCGATCGGCGGTCTCGCGGATGTCGCGCTGAGTGAGCACCCAGGGTGGCTGGTAGCCATTGTCCATGAGGATGCGATTGAGGTTGTGCGTCATGGGGTCGGCGTAGGGGTTGTGTTGGAACTTGTTGAGCGGCTTTCCGGCACCACTCAGGTTGCGGAAGTCGCCACGGGCCATGGACTCCTGGATTAGGTCCTCCACCAGCCGCTCCACCGCTTGTGTGATTTTGATATTCCTGCTGCGCCGCCGCATGTCCCGCTCCACTAGCGCCCCCTCAGACGCTGCCGCCCTCTCCTGCTCCCTCTGCCGGTAGTCCAGAACTTGCTCGGCGGCCCTGTCGGCACGGAAGTGGCGGTACTGGCGCTCGCGCTGGCTCGGGGTGCCTGAACCCACGCCCTCGTAGCTGAGGTAGTGTCTATGCTGAGGGGCCACACCTGCAGCTGGGTCCTTGTCCTCATCCTCGTCCGGCATTCTATCCCGAGACCGGGCCTCACTGCAGTGTGCCAGCACGCATCGGTAGGCCTCCTCCACCCGGGTAAAAAGAGCGGTATCAGCAGTGGGCGAGCCAGAGTCCGGGTGGTAGAGCTTGGCCAGGCGCAGGTAGGACACCTTCACCCGCTCGGGGCTGATGGACTCGTTTTCGGGCAGCTGCAGCAGCCGGTAGCTCTCTCTAATAAGACTGCCGCTGATGTGAGGTTTGCCGCTCAAGGTCCGGAGCCAGCAGAACCCGCCAGAACAAAGCAGCAGGAGGGATGCATGACGGGAGGAGTTGCTGGACACCAGGAGATGGGAACTCATTTCTCATCGCACTCCTGGAATGAGCAAATAAAACAATCAGAATGTGGCCCACCCTGAGAAATGTTTACAATTGTTTATGTAATACAATCTAAAATCGTAAATATACAATTTCTTTTCTGAACAAAAACTTCAAAACCAAGCAGCCATCATTCATAAATACAGTAATTCCTTAAGGCATCCCTAAAAATTAAGCTTTCGAAAGGGGTATCCCAACCACTTGCTGAAAGACGTGATCCAGCACTTAGAACCTATATGACGGTCGCCACATTAACAGACGCTAACATACCTGTTAAGGGTTAATTAACGCCAAGTTAAAGATGAATCATAGAGATGACCACTGGAATAGGAATATGAGGCTACAATAAACATTATCTGATGCGCCCATGGGAATATCTGAAAAAAATTTACAGGATTTTTACGTGACAAGAAAAAAACATGTCTTGGATCACGGCTTTTATTTTGTTTAGTTGACAAACAAAGAACGTGAATTAAATCGCCTCTCATTTACGAAATTTAAGAGTAAATAACTAATACGTTGCAAAGTTTATTTCATTCTCTTTGGGCTTAATTAAATAATGTATTTTAGCATGATCCAATTTCTAAAAGAATGTGCTGACATATTTAATTTGAATAACATTTTCTTTCCATTTGTAATAAATTAAGGCAACTGTATATCGGCAACGTCATAAAACTCCCGGATGTCATACCGTCCATTAGCTAGAAGCTACCCAGCCCGTGGCGATAGAAGTAAGCTAAAACCTTCAGTACGGACGTCGGGCTGCTTTGTGCGAACCCTGGCTGCCACGCAAATACCCACACGAACGTGTCAATTTGCTCCCCGCAAACTACAAAAACAAAGAAACTCAATTACAAATAGGAAACGAAAATAGGTCACCTGCTCGTCGCTGTGGTTGTTCCGTTTTGCCGAGTCTTCTTCGTTTGCTTGCTTTTCACTGGCGGTTGGTGAGAAAGTGCATCAGCGACATCTTGCGAACCGGAACCCAAACGACAAAAACTTCGTAATGATGACACCCTAACTTCGATGTTTCAAACATGTACTTTTAGTGGATGTTGTTGTTAGCAAATTTTGCAATATTCTTATAGTGCCTTGACAAGAAAATGCTAAACAAGTTAGTCTGACAATAATATTTCTGGAGATTCACACGACAGTACATGAACAACAAACCAAGTGTCAGGTTAACACAAAGTTGACCAGGATGAATCCCGCAGTCCATCCTCACGTTTCGTTGGTCAAGGCAACAGTCCAAATGACACAAGATTAAAATGTTTAAAAGTTTAATTAAGTCTTGAAAAAAAATGTACACAATTAAGTGGTCTAAAAATTGAAATAAATGGACAATTTAAAAAAATCCCACATTTTCTTCGAATTTAAAAAAGATTCAAGTGATTTTAAAATAAACTTGTTACAAAATGAATAAAATAAAATTGCTACAAAATGTCACGCTGACATGTAAAAACCAAGATTTTTTTAGGGGTCGGATGCAGCAATTTTACAGGGCCTTTGTGGGTACATCGTGTACAGGGCCAGCGCTAATCTGTGCATCCAACAACATTGCTGCTCATTTTATTTTTTTGGCTTTGTTTTGATGCTTCTCTTAATTGCGTGAAAGCTTGCTTTTCACTGGCGGTTGGTGAGAAAGTGCATCAGCGACATCTTGCGAACCGGAACCCAAACGACAAAAACTTCGTAATGATGACACCCTAACTTCGATGTTTCAAACATGTACTTTTAGTGGATGTTGTTGTTAGCAAATTTTGCAATATTCTTATAGTGCCTTGACAAGAAAATGCTAAACAAGTTAGTCTGACAATAATATTTCTGGAGATTCACACGACAGTACATGAACAACAAACCAAGTGTCAGGTTAACACAAAGTTGACCAGGATGAATCCCGCAGTCCATCCTCACGTTTCGTTGGTCAAGGCAACAGTCCAAATGACACAAGATTAAAATGTTTAAAAGTTTAATTAAGTCTTGAAAAAAAATGTACACAATTAAGTGGTCTAAAAATTGAAATAAATGGACAATTTAAAAAAATCCCACATTTTCTTCGAATTTAAAAAAGATTCAAGTGATTTTAAAATAAACTTGTTACAAAATGAATAAAATAAAATTGCTACAAAATGTCACGCTGACATGTAAAAACCAAGATTTTTTTAGGGGTCGGATGCAGCAATTTTACAGGGCCTTTGTGGGTACATCGTGTACAGGGCCAGCGCTAATCTGTGCATCCAACAACATTGCTGCTCATTTTATTTTTTTGGCTTTGTTTTGATGCTTCTCTTAATTGCGTGAAAAATGGAGGACCTTGATCCAGACCTGCTCCCAAATCGTGGGCGGAGACAATCAACACTGGATTGGGATTATGGAAATTATCTGAAGGGTTACACCAAAGAGGAAAACTATGACAAGAGAATTAACGTCGTGATGAGACATCTACCCTTTGCGCTCGAGGTCGGCCACGAGGAACGGCTCGTACTTCTTGAGGCTTTCTAAGAATATGTTCTTGGCATCGATGCCGGACTTGAGAGCTAGCTTGTAGATGTTCCTTGTCTTGCCCTGGTTGCCTGGCGTACAGCTAATTTTCTCATAGATCGCGTCCTGGATGACATTCTCCTTCAGCAGGAAATCCAGAATGGAATCAATGTTGCACACACGCTCTGTCAGCTCCAGTTGGTGCTTATCCACAAAGTGCACCTCTGAGGGACAAAATATTAGGGACAGTTGTCAAAACAATCGGTACAGAAAATAATATGATAAAAATACACAATTTGGGGAAAAGGCACAAATAATAGAGAAAATAATAGTGATATAAGCACAGGTCTATCGATCTATCTCTACACATATGCACACATATACTTATTGACATGCATATAGAATAAGTAGGAACAAATATAGAGCGAGTATAAAATAAATAAAAAAAATAACGTGGACATCCGGCTAGTTACCGCTGGAGCACGCCGTGTCACTCGAAGATCCAGCTTTGTCTCCATTTGAAGATGCATTTGTTCCTGCTGGTGCTTGAATAGATAACAATTAAAGTTTAGTAGCTTGTACGGTGCCATTTGAGTATTTTCAGCCTTAATTAAGGGTGTTGCTATCAATAATGTCGAGCAAACAAAAGAAATGAAATGAAATAGAAAAGACGAACACCTACTTTTCCTCGTAGATGACTTTGGGAACAGTTCGGCCATCTGCTCATCTGCCAAAACGTGATCAAAATATGTCAGATTTGCACTTACATGACTAGTAAAATATGAAACAAATATACAATATAGGATATGTAATACAGTATATGGAAAATTACATTGAAATATAAAAAAACTAATAAAATAAACAATATGAACTATTCAAAAATGTAAGTCTTCCAAACTACGTTACCAACATTTCAAAATATTCAATGAAAAATAAAAATGTATCGGCTTTTAAAATATTTTTGAAAATACAAGATAATGAACAAAAATCTCAGTCCACTACTAACATTTTCGGAAAAAAATACAATTCGAAAAAATGTGAAAGCGTTAGGTAAAAACAATGACAATGTCTTGGGGAAAAATATCTGCGAAAGGTATCATCCATACTTCACTGTTTTATGGTATTTCTTCCAAAAGTTCAAAATCTGACACCACGACTAAACTTTACACACACACGCGCGCGCGCACCGACACACACACACACACACCATCACATTTACCCAGCTCTTTGGCTTCGTTGAAGCATTTGATGGACTTCAGAAGTTCAGAGGTGACGGCTGGAGCGTCGTCCTCGGTGAACGTGGACACCAGCACATTGGTTACCTCCATGAAGTTCTTGTCCTCCACCTTGCTGAATGCAACCTTTCGGTCGCCGCCGCGGGCCATCAAAGCCATCCCGAACTTTTCAAAGTTCTTCTTGGACAAGTTCTCCAGCACGTCCGCGATCAACATCTTTTTGGAAGGCATCTTTTAGCGGGGAATGTGGTAAGGAACACGAGAGAGAAGAGGTCTCCAGGACGCAGGGCGGTTTCTTGTGATAGTTTCACTTTCCTTACTTGATCCCGGAAATGGTTATTACGAAATCACGAACCTCGAGATAAGGCGTGCACACACATAATTACAGAGTAATTTATTCAAACTCACGACTTTATGGACCTGACATACTTGAGTTTTGAGCAAAGCGCAATCGATTAACTTGGGGGTTTACATATTTTCGAGTTACTCTGAACGCAGCACCGCCCGCCCGGTGCCGCCTATGTTTGAACTGGACCACGAAAATGTACCGCGGAATATTTCATAACACAATCGTACCATGTATATTGTCAGTTAACACGGAGAGTCGTGCAATCTAATCACTTTTCCCTCATACTCATAAATGACCGTAGTCTGACCCGCCCGCCAAAGATTTACCGTTATTTTTTAAATCATAAATACTGGATTAAACGCTTCCTTTCCGTAATGGCGGGAACCCCTCCCCCCGCCACCTCCCACCTTGGAAGGAGGCGTTTCAAATCTCTGATGATAGACTGACTGTCACCCAGGTCCTTGAGTCCTTGCGTCCGAATGTGTGAACCTGGTGAACCTGTGGACCTTGTCACCTCGCGACCCGGACAACCAAATCGTATGATCCAGCACTAGACTGCATTTACTCTTTTCCGCCTTTTTCCAACAGAAGGGGGCTGCCTTCTTTCTCACGCATGCGCATTGTAAATTCCAAGTCTCGTCATTAACCAGTCATCACGCAGGCTGGAAACCAGCACGACACATGTGGAAATTAGTTGAGTTTATTCATTGTAATTCGACAGCAGAGGTAGACCTGAGTTCTGTATACATATAAAAATATAATAAATGCACAAAACTCCACTGTATCAACAGTATTTACAAGTATTTTGTCAACAGAAACAAGAGTAAAACCTTTGCAGTATTAGCCTCATACATTAAAAAAAAAAGTTGGAATGAAACAAAAGAAACGGTCATTTCTTTTATTCATACCATCTTAGAAATCTTGTAATTGGGACTCTTCTCAGAAAATGGCCATTTGTACCATTTATTTTCCCTCCTTAATACTGTGTTTATTTCCAAAAAAGGTCTGAGTGTGAGTGTGTGTGTCTATATGTGTGTATTCAAATTTCATTTGTCATATCTCGAATGTATTTTTCTAGTATAATTGCAATATTTGGCAAGAATTATGACTTCATTCACAAAATGACCGAAAATGATTTTAGTTGCATAAAATTACTTTTTTTTTTTTTTTGCTCATAAAATTGCAGATTTTTGTTGCATTGTGGCCACTTCACCGGCAATCTTTCTTTCTTGTAAGATTGTCCATCTTTTTCTCACGAATGGCAACCTTTGTGTAAAACTGCACCTTTTTCTCGTAAATGTAAGAATTGTCCTTTGTAATATCTGTTCCGAACTTCGATGACTTCAACCTCATAGTATCAGAATTTTTTTTTTTCTTGGCCTTCTTAGTGTGGCGCTAATACTCTTTGCTGATTACCGTTGTTGGAGATGCGGCGTCACCTTCCTCTTTGTAGTGCTTGAAATGCCTCCTTCGCCCCGAGCTTGACATATTCAATTCTTCCACTACAAATTCTGCTCACCGCATGGTGAATTTGGACAGAAATGTCACTTATTGTGTACATGACACTACTCACATGGTCCATCGCACTTCGTTTTGATTAGGTTTGTTTTTTTTTTCTTTACTCCCATCGCTCGCTGCTGAACTCTGACGTGGACGACTCTGTGCTGCTGGCGGTAGGCAAAATGTTCAGGCTGCTCAGCACCTCCTGCGCCGTCTTTCCCAACATGCCCTGCACGTCGCAGACAAAGCGGTAGACGTAGCGCTTGCCTGCCGTCTTGTGGATGATGTTCTTGTGGTAATAGTAGCGAAGGCCCCGGCTCAGCTTCTCGTAGTTCATCTTGGGCTTGTTCTTGCACTGGCCCCAGCGCTTTGCTACCTGTGGAGGGCAAGACAAAATTGGAGTCAAACAATTTCAAAGCAAAGACGACGTCCCTATATGATGTTAGGAAGGAGTGAAAAATCTTACTTCAGTGGGGTCGGACATCTTAAACTCCCAGCCGTCCCCCGTCCAGGAAATGAAGGTGCGACAGGTCGAGTCCAGAAGAAGCTCTAGTAGAAACTGCCACAGCTGGATGGGGCCCGAACCTGACAAAACACACGTGAAAATATGTCTGTTGTAGTTGCCATGGCAACCACGGCTATGCATTCACTTCAAACAATTGTTAAAAAAAAAAACAAAAAAACAAACATTCTAGAAAAACAAAAGCAATACAAACCCGGATAAGCGGACATAGCGGCCATTTGACTGTCCCTCTCGGGCCGCTGGAGGTTTTTGCGCTTGGGCGCGCGGGGGTAGTAGTTGTCTGACGGCTGTGGGCTAGCGTTGGTGGGGGCGGGGCAGATGGAAGACGTAGGCGGGTGGGGCAGGGGGTTCCCGAAACCGGATGGGGAGTATTCGGACCAAAAGGCTCTCCTCTGGCTGTCCGAATCCGGGTAGAGGTCGGCCGAGTGATGGGGGTAGCCCAAGTCTGCGTCGCTTTTTACGCTTGGGAAAGGGCTGTGGTTGCCCTCCGCGGCTGGGGTGAACGGTTCCCTCCCGGGCAAAAGGCTCTGGTAGCTCTGGTTGGTTCCTGGCTCCTGGTAGCCACCCGCTTGGGGCTGCTCCACCATCAACCCGTCTGCTGGAGGGAAACCGAGCTTAAGAACGTTGAAAGCCGCACAAAATATGGTACTGCTATCTATCAGGGCTCCATCCTATTTACACACGGGCTAGTGAGCATCTCTAAAATTGAAAAATGGAAATGTGCAGCGAATACATGTGATCGATATTGGAATTGGTATCAGCCAATCTAAGTCATGGACGACTGAGGTCTCGATATGGGAAGCATAAAACCTTGATCTGAACAGCCCTACTTTTTATTGGTGGAAATCATCAACACTGTTGTGACAAATTACTCTATTTTTGAAGTTATTATTGTTGGGAAAAACTATTGAATGTGGGGAGGGGCGAATAAAGATAATGTACTTTTTTATTGTATTCTTTTCTTTCGTGAGTTGGGTTAAATCAAATTATGAATGTTTATTTATGAATTTCTTCATTTGAAGCCTTTCATGCACCCTGTAACCTGATAAACATGATAAGCTGTCCACTGTAATAACGGCTGTGCCCGATAGGGTTCAACAAAACCTCACCTTGTGGATAAGAAGTCCACCAGCTGAACTCCTGGAATGAGTCCAAGTTGAAGAGGCCGATATCGCTTGAGTTAACTGCAAAAAAAAAAAAAAAAAAAAAAGATGACATGAATTTGAGTGTATCATTAATTGTACATTCTGTCCGATGTTGCTTACTGACCTTTGGGCGGCTCTGCATAGCAGTTGTCAAGCGAATACTGCGGCGGCTGCGTGGATGCCTTGCTGCTGTCTAACAGAAAAGACACATCTTCACCAGGGTAGTCTGGAGGTTACATGCACACATGTACACACACGTTAGGTAAGATTCATACGTCCATATTAGGAAAATATTGTTATAATTTTTCTAATGGTTTTCCGCTTTATTTTTTTTATCTTACAGCACCACTGAAATTAAAGAAAAATAAATCTCAGACAAAAAAAAAAAAAAAAGAAAAAAAAACATTTTGGTAAAATGCATAAATGTGGTCCAAAAATCCAAACATGTATGTCAAAAATGTTCAGGTAAAACCAGAAAATTTGGTGTTTACATCTGGCCTAATGTCAGGACGGACACACACACACACACACACACACACACACACACACACACACACACACAGCGCACAAAATGGTTGGTTGATTGGGTGTGATGATGACAATAAAACGACACGAAACATGACACTTGCAGTAACTATGTATAGCCACTAGATGGTAGTATTATTCTGAAAACAACTTCCGGCTAACGAGCCATAGATTTTCTTCAAAGGCTGAGCGTTTTTGTATTTTTACTTTTAATTCCTGTATTTATACGAACAAAGACTTTATTAATTCAACCAGCGTAACTGTAAGTATTTATTTTACTTTGTTACCGTTTTCATAATGATGGTCTTATTTTATACACTTGCACGGTTGTCAGGAAATGGTATGACGTAACACATGGCCTGTATATTTAATTAAGATTTTATTAATCAATGAGAGTACTTTTACTTTATTTTACTTGTATTTAGTGACCTTTTAAAGCAGTGGCCTAATTTTTTTTAGACATTTACATGACCACCAAGGAGGCGGAAATGTGGCTTAAAACATGACCTGTGGAGTTAATAAAGCTTTTATTCATTCAACTGGCATCATTGTCAGTATTTTTACTTCATTGCAGTTTTATTTTTTTTATTCAACATATTTGTTAGACTTGCACGACCATTACTGAGACAAACAATCAGTCACGCTCACAATCACACCTAGGGGCAATTTAGAGTGTTCCATTAACCTGCCATGCATGTTTTGGGACTGTGGGAGGAAACCGGAACACCAGGAGAAAACCCACGCGGGCACAGGGAGAACATGCAAACTACACACAGGAAAGCTGGATCCCGGAATCGAACCCTAGATCTCTGTAATGTGAGGTGGATGTGCTCACCAGTTGCTCACCGTGCCACCCTAATTCAATCAGCATCATTTTTTTAAAACTTGATTTTACTTTTAAGTCGCTTCTCATACAATACAAGGGACAAATAGTTCTGTAAAAACGTATTTCTTTGTTCAAAATGCAGGAAATGCAATATCCCCAACAGCAAAACCTGAAATATTTTGTTGACTTAAAAATGTGATGCAAATTTGTTGGGTGGAAATTTTGAGTTCACTCAACTTTTTTTTTCTCATTTGTAAGAATAGCCTAATGTGACTCAAAACGTAAGCATATACAGTTCATAAACAGTTGAATAATCAAATTAAATCACTTGATATTATTTCTTATTATGGGGCTGGGGGGGTATAACTCTGAAGTCATGTTCCATTTTTGAGGTTCCGCAGCAAAATGACACTGTACCTAATCAACTGTCCAGTGCACACAACAATACAAGCATCATGGCGAGGGGCCCAAAGCTGCTGTTTTAGCAATTAGACTAAACACTTATTACTGAAGAGGGTGGGGGCATTTGTTTACCATCCAATCAGCGAAGGCTGCACTTTTTTTTCCCCCCCAGCTGAATGGATGGGGAAACAGGGGAGGAAGAGCGTGGAGGAAACACCAGCGGAGGGAGTGTGACAGCGTAGTGATGGAGGGAGGGGGTTCATGCACTCTAAATCTGTTGGAGAAGGAAGTCTGGAGGAA